TACTCTAGTATAGGGTGGCAAAATTCAGCTGAACTAGCTCTGGTATAGGCTAAGGGTTCAAGGGTCCCAGCGGCACATCCCCACCCAGAAATTCCCAAATTCCCCTCCCCGGGTATTTACCGTAGTTCCAAACACATCGACGTAAATCAGCTGCGCGCGCCGTATTTCAACTCTCTTTACGGTGTTTGGAAATGTGGTAAAACACAGTCACTTGTGTTGTATAATATCACTTGAAAGATCATATTTGAGAAAAAAAAAACTCACCTCTGATATTGTTCCAATAGCAAACGATTTGTCAGAAACTGAACAGGATTTTCTCTGCGAAGTCAAAAAAACATCAGACAGGGAATATATACTACAAAAACACAGATTGGACGCGTCATGAATTTAGTGTGACAAGCCCCAAGATGTAAGAGGTTGTAACATAAGTGATTTGAGACAATATCTTGCTTAAGGAGTTAAATCTCTACGCAATAGACCGTTTTTCAATTACCGTAAATCCTCGAATTAGCGCCCGGGGGGCTTATTTCAAATTTAGGAGAAGACGGGGGGCGCTTATTCGAGGGGGGCGCTAATTTAATTTTTCCCAAATCATGGCCTGACATGATCATTTTTTTGGTACATCATCTGCGTGTAAACACCAACATAAGCTGTTTATTGACATAAAAAGCTGATCCTAAAGTTTAAATCGCGGCATCGTTAGTATTAACGTGTTCAACGCGTTCACTAAACGTGAGGCAAAAAAAGGGCGGGAGTCTAGCGATTTATCCTGTGAATAATGATATCGAGTCTTTTATAGGAATTACGTCACAAACTGAAACAATGTACAAATCTAATACTACATGACGAAAAGTATACATCCTTTGTTGTCTCATTACTCGTCCACAAAATGGGGGGGGGGGGGGGGGGGGGGCGATTATTCGAGGCGGGGCGCTAATTCGAGGATTACGGTGAGAGTCGAAAGCAATCAGGCGATCAATTTGGTTTTGCTTTTGGTTTTGGTTTTATTACGGTTTAAAATTGGCTGAGTAGTCTAATTGATAAGCAATTGGTTTGGTTTTGCGCAAATTGCGTTTTTCACCTCCACTATTAACCCCATCTTCTTTTACGCCAGCTATGCACGCTGTGCTGAGAAGTGGCACAGTAAATCATCTACAGTATTAGTTCCTACTCTGCGTCAAATGATTCATAGAGAAGCGAAAAAAGCGAGTAGAAAACCACTAGGGCGAGGAACACTGGAAAGCATTGCCTCGCCCCAATTTTCAAGCGTCCGTCTCAACCGCTTGACTTTTTCACTAGTGATCTGGACAATTTGAGGAAAAGTGAGAACTATTCAAGGTTTTTCCTACGCTATGATTTAAAAAGCATATAAAGAGTTGGTGAGACTGATTGTTTAATCTATGGAAATGAACGACCATAGTCCTTGTAACACGGCCGATAAACTGAGAAGGAAAGACTTGTATTTGAATACCGGCTTAGCATAATTTACTTACAGTTTTCTTGAGTAACAGGGGCAAAAATCCTGCAAAGTACGGTGCGAAGATTTGTCCGCCTACAGCAGTAGCCAAGGACGGAAGAATGTCCCCGGCATACTCAATTAACATTGCATCAAACTCTGCTTGCTGGTCTGAATCATCTATGTCATCATCATCACCTTGTTGACAAGCAGTCTGTAAAAGGAAGATGAAAAAAAAAAATCCAACTTACGAAGCAAAAATCGCATGCTCTTTTTTACAGTTTATGGAGGCGGCGTGGCCGAGTGGTTTAGGGCGCTGGATTTGAAATCTGGAGGTCCCTGGTTCAAATCCTCCACCCTACCGCTATCTGGAGTGTTCTCGGTAGCCCCGAGTTCAACTCCTCGACCGCATTGTGTAAATAGCCAGCTGGTCAGCCTCCCGCCAGTTGGGATTCTTAATAGTTTATGTTATATTTGAAATATTTGTTTATTTATTTACAGTGTCCCCAGTTAGCACATTAGTGTTAAATACATCGACACTTAAATAAAGTGATTATTATTNATTATTATTATTATTATTATTATTATTATTATTATTTATTACAGTCACAGAAGAAACGCAATGAAGAGCTTGTATGATACGAGTGTTCTAGAGTGCACCAAAATGTACAGCTACTGTAACATCAACTCCTTCTTTTGTATGTAGGAATGATGTATGAACGCCGACCAGTGTTTCAAGTGCGAACCCCACTACAATCCCAGCCCACCTCTAAAAGGGAACTGACAACGTAAGAAGTATGAAATTCTTGGCTTGCCAGTTTAGTGACCAAAAATCGCATTTGCTTTAATTTACTATAGTGTGTTTAACAAGTTTCTCTAATCAACTGTAGTACAGAGTTGACAAACAAAGACAAAGCAGCAAAACATATAAACACTTAAAAAGACCACCATGATTTACAATCAATATATATAAACCAACCTTCTGCATGAGTACCGATCTCGCGGCATTAGCAATGGCGTCAGGGTGTCCCTGTTCATCAACGATTAAAGACTTGACTGCCTTTAGGACTTCATTGAGCGACTGCAGTGTTGCCATGGCAACAGATCTGTCCTTGTCCTTCGTTATAACGGTGATAAAGGTTGGTATTGCTGTGCCAAGCATACGTTGCACTAAAGAAGAGAGCGAAGAACGACAGCATACAGGTTTAATAGCCTAAAATGAGGGATGGTACCTTCCATAATTCACAGCTTTACAGCCCGAAATGCAAAGCTGTACTTTTGTAGTTATGTTATGCTATAGAGTCAACAGAAGAAGCTTCAAAGTTTCAAAAAACAAAAAGATGCCATTGATAACGAAACCCAAAGTTATCACTCTGGCCAATCACAAAAAAACACACAATCCAACGAACCAATCAAATCTCGAAGTAAATAAATGTAGCGACGCAAAGCGCGGGAAAACGTGTGCGAGCGAGTGACTTCTGATTGGATGACTTATTGGCAGGCGTTTTTCTAAGCCAATAGTGTTACGTAGTAATGCAAAACCAAAGCAAATGCGACTTACTTTCGGCACTAAAGCGAAAACTGTTATAATATGATATAATATGATATAACTTGGTAATATCTGACAGAGAATGCTGACAAAAATAAAACACATTTTATCAGCAACTGTCGTAGAAAATGCATATTCTTTTTAGCCGTTTGCGATTTGATGGTTGACTGTTAACTGGGCGTAAGAAAAGGCAGGCCAGGCCCATTTTTACGAAAAATCCTTGTTTTAACTGCAGTGACTAAGAAGGATGGTAGAATTATATAACAAAAACAACGATTACGCCGTCATTACAAAAAAAAAAACCAAAAAAAAACCCAGCCTTTTAACGCTATTTAAGTATAAAAGTGGTTGTTTTCTCTACATACACGCTGTTTTATCCTCTGCACCAGCTTCTTCAAGAAGAGAATGGAATCCACTGCAGAACTGACCTAACGCCATCACAGCTCCCTTCCTTACCCCTGTGTGGGGAAACTGACCAGTCGCATGGAATTTTGTTAAAAACAGAAAGCGAAACACGGTTTGCCCTCAACGAGGGTTTTCTTGGCAGTTACATTGGGGTTCCTAAACTATAGTAAATTTTTGTGTAAGAAAAAGCTCATTTCCCAAAGGGGAGGAATTATATTGTTTTGAATGCCAAGATAGCTGCTGTGACGTCATGTGGAAAGTTCTGTTGTTCTGGGCGAGTCCTGGGCCGGGTTGTTCAAAGTCCGATTAAGCTAACCCACGATTCGCGAGAACTTTGGTTTCAGTTTTAAAACTTTTTGGTGAGGTTTTCTGTTTGTACTGTGTGTCCTTCAGTTCTGAGTTTGAATTATCTCAAACAACACAAAACATAAGCAAAGAAAAACATTTTTATACAGGAAAATTAATAATTCGGTAAACTCTCACACTCAGATTTAACCCCTCGGCTGCGCTTATCGAATAGCACACTGGTTAGCCTCCAACAAAATGGGTCTTTTAATAGGTTATGCAACATTCGCAGTATTTTTGTTTACTTTCAGTGTCCACAATGATCACAGCAGTGCTAAATCCGGCACTCAAATCAACTATTTCCTTAAATTCATTTGTGATGGCCAAGAGAAAACTGTTTAAATCCATCCAGAAATAACTGGAAATTCTATGGATACTCCAAGAATACTGATATCACAGGTGAAAAACCACTGGTCTGCCTGTGGCTTGCTAGCACAGTAACTTCAGTTTTCATACCTGGATAAGTTTTAATACTTCTTTAAATGATTCGTCTAAGTACGGTAGAAATTCTGTTCTATAAAAGAAGAAAAGTCAATGATTATCCTAATAGTTTCAATAGCTGTTAACTATTGTTTGAACTTCTAAACATTCATCTCAGAAATCCGTAATTCTCTCTCTCAACACAAGATATTATAATGTAATCCTAACGCCTACTTCTTGTGCTTATTTTCGAGATCACTTTTAGCGCAATAGAGACAGTAAGCACTCTACTGGGTTATTGGCTACACTTACACGCTTTATTAAATTAGCACTTCAACTTACCCTGAGTTTTCTGAGATCTCCCCCAGAGCATTACAAGTGTCTTCTTTCTCTTCCAGATAAGCATTTTCTACACTATACCTGTAACCAGACAGAAGGAACTTTGGAACACACTATAGTGCGATACATGAAGCTAAGACAAAGTATAAAGTATCAGCAATCACTTCTTTTCTTTAACCAATTTATAAAGACGTTTTTCATAACAGTGTTGGATGCAAAATTGCATTTTCAAATTGGGTGATAACTTGTATATTGCAAGCTACAGCACTTAGCTACCTCCAGTACAGCACAGGTTCCCTTTAATCCAATCTTTCGTTATAACGAATTCTCTCAATGAAAGTTAAAGTAAAGATGTGATAACAAATAAGGAGACTTTTGACACTGATCATGAGACTTGAGTCACAAAGTAAACATTACCCAGTTACTTCATCATCATCATCTTCTTCTCCTAAGTCTTGATCTTCCAATAGAAAACTAGGGTCGTCCTCACTCGCATAGTGGGTCTGGCGAAGAAAGCACCATTACGTTTACTGCATAAGTTTGTTGCTTGCTTTTACTTCTCACGAGAACATATTACGTTCAATTCAATGTAACAGGCTATTGTGGTGGAGGGGTGGGGGAGTGATAGACTAGCATGCCCTGGGGGAGCAGTAATTATCTTGGTCACTAAAGAGTTGGAAGTGCTAGCAAGGAGAAAGCAGTAGCTTCATATAATTCCTTGGTATGGGACAGACGTAACTGAAACATCTTAAGGCATCACCGACATCTTCACGTGCCTAAGATGTGACAGATTTAAACGATTACNCACACAAAATCAAGCCAATCAAAATTGGAAGCATAATACATGTAGCTGAAAGAAAGGAAAAATGTGTGCAAGTGGGTCACCTTTGGTTCTGGTCTTACTTCTGACTAGCTGATAAAGTGGCACAAGTTGTTAAAGCCTATCGCACAGTGTACTAAAGCTGAACTAATTCAAACAAATTCAAATTACTTTCAACAATCAAGTGAAAACTGTCCTAAACTTACCAACCTGTTTCTGATGTAGTCTGCACATCCCTCAGCAAGCACTGCCAGAGCTATTAGTGCTGCCTTCCTCTTATAAGGGTCTTCACTTCCAAGAGCTGGCTGCACAAACTGCATCTGAAGGTAAGATTGAAAACAACTTATTAAACAGTCATGTTTTGTGGAAGTTCTGTCCAAGTTAAGTTTCACATTGCTAGAGCCTAACACAAGTGTAAGTTTGAGAGTGCTGTAAATCCTCGAATTGGCGCCTCCCCTCAAATAAGTGTACCCCTTCGAATAAGCATGCCTTCTATCGGCCAAAATTTTAAATAAGCCCCACGCCTCAAATAAATGCCCCCTCCCCTGTTTTATGGAAGAGTACTGAGACAATTGCAACAGAGGATGTATGGTTTTGGTTGTCTTCAGTCACAAGCAAGTGATTATTGACTCATTCAATCACTGCACATTGACCATCATAATGGATGGTAGTGAAGATCTGCTGATTCATTGCCTAAAGGCCAGCCAACCTAGTGCAGCAGGCCTAGACCAGCTAAAGGGGTTATATTACGTAGTTCTTCAAGAGAGACAGGATCCTTCTGAGACTTCTGAGGGTCTGACACATACAAATATTAGAAAAAAACTGATCATAATTATCTGACCACAATTTGGGAAAAAATAANAGTGCATACAATGTAGCTTTCATTTGAGTAGCTGAAACACAAAATAGGCCATTTTACAGTTGTGTGCTTACTTACCTGGCCTCTGACTGCAAGCGAGGCTGGAGGTGACCTTGCTTTGATGCAGACCTCTCTGCTTTTCTTATGTAAATGCCAACTAGTTAGCATAAGAACAACTTGATTTACACAACAAAAACAGTGAGGTCTGTATCAAAACAAGGTCACCTCCAGCCTCGCTGCCATCCAAAGGCCAGGTTACTGAACAGACAACTGTAAAAGGGTCTATTTAAGGGTAGAACCATTCAAGATGCTTGAATGGGCAAAAGGTTAATATCTTAGGATATAATAAAAAAATGTTTGACAACCACACCTTTGTAAAAATACCATTTTACCTGTGAAGCCACTGCACAAGGTCTGCTTGCTTCTGTTCCTTCCTCCACCTCATCATCTTCGTCTTCATCATCAAAATCATCATCTTCACTTGGTGGTGAAGCCATAAGAGGAAACACGACGGACAAGGTTGGCAAGAGAAGCTTGTTCTTCACCAGTGCCTGTTGAAGAAAAATTCTCATGGTCAATTAAACAACTAATATCAATGGAGAGGTTTGCAAATTTCTCTAGTTTAGAAATACACTTAATAGATATGTATACCTCTTTTAACTATTATAAAGACAACATCAAATGTTGAGAAATTCAAAATGAACCATTTGAACCCTTTAGAAATTAGTTTCACATGTATTGTAGAGCATCATTAAACCCTTCTAATGTAGAGTTGTTAACAGTTAAAAAGGAATTCCCCCCTCTACAATCAACAACAACAACAACAGACAGAATGAGAGTGGCTAATAAATAATAATAAATAATAATAATAACAAATATTTATACTGGATAGCCCTTCAGTGCAAGAATACTGTTATCAAAGGGGTCCTGTCTAAATAACATAATATAAGGATCAAAACTAAAATAAGTTAAGAATGACTTCATAAATTATTAACTACACTATACATAATAATACCTAATAATACCTACCTAATACCTAAAATAACTAATACCTAAAATACTCTATAAGGCCACTAACTGCTTGGTTATTAGCACACAGGCAGCACATCTTTTGATGATTAAACTCACCTTGGGTTTGATTCTTGCCAGCCAGCTTACAAAGTAAAGAGCTTTTATTCTCAAGTTGTCTCCACAAGATGAATTACTAGCTATCTGCAATCAATTTTGTATAAATGGCATCATTAATAATATTTATTATTATTGTACTGTTCATAATGCATACACACAGTACATCATATACAACAACCAGAAGCTTAGCTGCACTACTGTTAAACAGTATCCATAAATTCTCAGTATTACAAACCTGAAGACAGAACTCAACCAATGCTTTTAAATGAGGAGTCACAATACTGACTTCAGACTCAACCAGTTCATCAAATATTTCCATTGCATCACACGCTTTATCCTGGGTAAAAATTGTTCAAATATTGTTACAATCAACATCCTAATTTACTAAATTTCTTTACATTTTCATCACAAACTTGAGAAAGTAGTTTACCAAAATTAAAAATCTAAATTAAATCACCTCAGGAAAACATCTTGGCTGAGAACCAAGGAAAAAAAATCTCCCCTTGAAAATCTGATGCCAATGATATATCCAAACCACGAGTTTGGGAAGAAACTACATCAAATTTACAATAGTGTTTTACCTAATATGTCAAACATGAGAGAAAGTGTTTCATCGGGATGTTCAAGCACCAAGAAGAGGGTTGAAAATATGACGTGCAGCAGAGTATTTTTGGATAGCCAATGAAACACTGTCTCAAGTGTTGGATATATCGTCTCAATCAAAACAAAAACTAAGGAGTAAGTGAAGAAAAAAAGACCTCTTTCACAGATGTGATTTTCTTTGTTTGCTATTTTAATGAGTTTGAGAATAGAAAATACACCACTTGTAAAATTCATATGAAGCTACATCCAGGACTGAAGTGGCACATTTTCAATATCCTCACTAGTGGCAACATTGATGATGTCATTTTCCTCTTTTTCACAATATTGTTTGAATGTGCAAGAAGTAAGTTTGTCCTTGTTTGTCTAAATGGTGGCTTGAAGATACGAATTTTATTTTCCTGAGTTAAAGACAATATCCTACTCACTTGCTGTACTCATTTGCAAAATGTTGCTTCTATCACTTAAAAATAAAGTCTATATCTTCGTGCCATCAGGTTGTGTCCTCTATACATTACTAGTAACCTACAAATAACAGTATACAGTGAACAATCACCCACCTCATCTATGGATAAGATTTGATTGATGAATGCCACAACTTTTGGTATAAGAGGTCTAACTAAAGGCTAAAACAGAAACAAAACACAGGTATTGACCACATTTTGATACTGAGGTTGAGGGTTGATAAGACACAAATTAAATGACAGTTACTTTAATACACACAGGCATGTGATTATGTACTGATCAACTTACAATTTCATCTGTTCCGACACATTCAATGAGGCATGTCAATGCTCTACAGAGGAGATAAGATACAGTGTGTAGTTGTAGTGATACAATATGTGCATAAAACCTGTAACCAGAGAATTACAAAGCAACAACTTTCTCATTCCCAACGGAAGTCACACTGGTTTTAAATTTCCTTATTCAAAAGAATGATAAAAAAAATCATATCAATCAACACATAAAAGTATTGCTCAGCAATAATCAGTTCTAAATTTTCCATACTTGAACCAAATTCAGGCTGTATCAGCCAGCTATAATAATTTACCCCCACCCCAACCAACCTACATGTACACAAACTTAGGATGTTAAGGACAAACACCATTACGGTTTACCTCGGTATTTTAAGCCCTCAAAGTATCTTTTAGGGCTACACTCCAGAAAACAATAATTTAAAAAACTATGTCATTTCTATGTTAATTGGTATCTTTTATGAGTCAAACTAAGTTTGAGCCACACCCAGACTGGTCTCCTTTAAGATTTTTTTTGACCAGCATCCTGACTTTTTCATACGGTAGGCCCCCCAGGCATTGAAAGGGTTTACCTACAGGGGGTGGTTAAGTGATGGATATGCACCTCACCTTATAGTGTAAAATGGTACCAGTTTACTTTGTTGGTCTTCTAATGTACTGGAGAAAAGTTGGAAGAGGGAGGTGAAATGAGGACGTAGCTGTTCATTGGCTGATTCTGTGATGGAGCTTAGGAGAAACATGCCCATCTGAAATACAACAGAACACCTCAGAACTGCGTTACTACCCTAACTTGAAGGGAATAATACAGGTGGATGAATTTTCCAAATGGATATTAATTTCTAATCTAGCTGACCTCTCTCTGTAGTGGTTGATCTGACTTGATGTGTTGTTGAAGGAAAACAAGCAGTTTTGGCCACTGATTAGCTGGCAGGTCATGTTTAGCTATCACACTCACCTAATATAAGGTAATAAATTAACATATAATATAAGAATTCTGCTTC